CTTGAACAGCATTACAGTGGTCAAAAAAGTAGTCACAAAGGTGAAACAGTTGAAGTGCCCTGAGGAGAAGAAGATGGCTTCCCTCAAGATTTATTTTTGTTCTTTTTTTGCTTACCTGAACAATTTCCAAAGGTTTAACTACCTGTAGTTCTCAAAGTGCTATCAATTACCACCCTTTTAGTTATTCTGGATTTTCGAGTTCTATGTTTCTTCAATATTAGTGCACACTACCTGCATTCAAGGAAAAGTAAAATTTCAGGAAAAAGCAGGTGTTTGGAGAACATTTGGAATTACATGAGTCTGGGATAATTTAAAATGTTTTAAAAAGTTGCAGCTCTTCTTCATGGAAACTACTTTATCATCTTCCAACAAACTGCAGACACGCATCATCAACAACTGTCACCTGCGCTCATTCGATACTGAAGATCATGTCAGATGGCCAAAATAATAAGAATAAGCAACAAGGAACGCTGGGAATGGACCAACGAAGAACCTGTCACCCCACTAATATGCAGGAGAAGAAAGTGGAGATGGACTGGGCTGCACATACACTGAGAAAACCATTTGGAGACGTCACGCACTAGGCCAGACCGTCGAGTGGAATCCGAAGGGGAAACGACTAGTTGGGCGTCGGAGGTGAGGGTGATATGGAGGAGATGGTGTATGGAATAAATGAAAGGTTGTGGTCAGTGGTGGTACCAGGTTGAAAAGACTGCATAGAAGAGAGTGGAATGGAGGCCTGCTACTGAAGCCGTATGTTCCACTAGGTACCCGAGGAGAAAATAATAAATAATATTAATTCACTCAGGCTCTGAAGGTAGTCAGCACCAAAAATAGCCCAGATGTAAGCTGACAGAGTCTGATCAATAACCGTGGTAAGTGGTAATCATCAAAAGCCTGAGAGATGTGACGGCTAGTTGCAATGGGTCATAGTGGACAGTTATTCAGATTTAACAAGGGAAGTGAGGCGAAGTGTTGATGGTTGATGAGGTGATTAACTCACAGAGAAGACAGAATGATGGATGGAATGCTCTGAGGTGCATTTTATCTGGTTTCAAATTCAGTATTTGATTTTCCGCTAATCAGTCATATACTTGAAAGTAACACTTACATACAGCCTGAGATCACAACAAAAACTGAGAAGACCATGGGTAATGTGAAATAAGAAAGATTAGTCAGTACCAAAGGTATTTGAAGACAGCGGTTAAAGATTACTGGGTTTAATCATTGAGATGTTAGCTACGTTACGATAGCCAGATTTGATCCTCTCTGACTGATTGGAACCACCAGTTGTGATGGTTTTCAAAGGAAACGGTAATACCTGTTGTAATGACAATGGTAAATCGTTCTGGAGAGAGTAATTTCTAAGACCGCGTATTTGATAATTCCTGGACTCATGAGGAAGGTTAGGGAAGGAAATGGAGAGAACCATATTGGTTTCTCGACTGGTTGTGAATGTATTAACCACTCCTCCGCCGGTTACCAGTTTTTGAAACACAAGGGAAATTGCTGGCTTTCAGTGCTATCCACATTTTAGACCGGAAAATGGCACCTGACCTTGTCTTTTGAAGCATCGTACAGTAGTGTCTGTCAGTAAATTGTTCAGCTGACATGTACATCACTGCGTTAGAGGTTGTCTATTTGAACTCTTGTGGGTATTTTGGCACCTATATTGATGTATTAGATGGTGTGCATTCTACGAGTGTTTTCTGTTAAAGGTATCTACTCTTCAGATCCGTAGTTAATCTTTTCGCTGATGTGCTGTTGGCAGTGTCTCCTTCTTTTTTGGACTTTAGGGGAATTGACGTTGTCACATGAGACTCTTTGGTAGATTTAGAGTATATAGAAGACATAGAGGTGTTAGGTGAAGATGCGAACAACGTGTATTGTCTTTTGGACATCTTGATTTGCAACAAACACGCAGCATCAAATTCTTTGACTGGGACTGCTCTGTCTTTATGACTTGGGTCTAAGAATTGAGAGCGAAGTAGTTGGGGCGCTTTACTGCTTAACTTACTGGTGAAGTCAGATACCTCCTGGTGGTCTTGTGACTGCTGAATCGTCTGCAGAGTTAGATCGGGGTTTTCAGCTTACGTGGTCTTCAGTACCAACAAGATATCAAGTTGCATACTAGCTTTTAAGTGTGCTCCGTAGCGGTTTTCTCTGTTCCAATATATGGTAGTGAGAGTTGGAGGACAAAGATAGAATTCAGGTGTTTGTTCACTTTTGCCATTTTAGCATTGGCTGTGTCGTAGAATTTAAGCATAAAGTTTCGAGCCGACGAAGTAAGTGAGTTGATATGTTATAAATCTGCACCAACTCAGGTGGCACCGATATGTGATACACAAGATTAGCTAAACCAATGTATAGTGCTATCTGAGGTGGACTTGGACTACAGGAACATCAGTGATGTACCGGTTAAGACAGTATGACGTTTGATCTCAGTTGTGCCACGATATGCGGATCTGATTAAAATTTGAACTATCTGGATAGTACATTGAGAAAAAACATAAATTTCTGTCGAAATTCAAATGCTTTTACTGGTTGATTACCAATGTGTACGAAGGGATGTCTTGAAGCTGAAAATCTGTTCCAACGTGAATTTATCAATATAACAACTGCTGTAAGAAAACCCTCCTCAGCATAGTTTATTGGTATATTTTGTCATTTGTGTTCAACTTTTATGTTTTTCTACAAGCAGACATTATCTCGTAACAGATATTCTACGTTATTTGTCAATCATATCACATCATGAAACGCTTAGGGATTACGAGTGAAAAACTGTTCAACATTGACTCAATCTACCTACAGTAACATCAATGAATTAAACGCTTACTTAGCTTTTTTTCCGTGTATTCATTTAATCTTTATGTAGTTTCTGAATGTTTTATTAAAGACAACACTAGGCATTGAAAATACTTTCCTCCTATAATGAAAGACATCTACAAAGCGAGTAATTCTATGTTTACTTTTGAAATGATCAGTTTAGAATAGGTGAGAAGACAGTGTTTAAGGACTTAGGAATGAATAAGCTTTCTTAATACCGACATTAGATGTTTGGAGTGATAGATTTCAAGGGGGTATTCATCACCGACTGACATCAGTTGGGGAACCTAATGGACACTTGACAACTACTTCATCATAACTTGGGACCTCTCAGGTTTAGGGGTGATCATCTTAGCACTGCTTTCTGATCGATTCTTCCACATTTAATTACTTCTATCAATTCGAGATGTAGCGCGACGATCATTTAGTGCCATCACCGAATATTTGTCCTAACACTTGATTTGATTGTCCCACGAGTTACGACTTCTCACTAGAACTCAGAAAATTTCATCTAGAAGAATATCACTAATTGACCACTGGACAGTAATTTAGATTGGAAGTTTGTTGGGACTGATTGAATTCAAGGTGGTGTTCATTACGACCGACATCTCCGATGAGGTTGTACGTGCTCAATGCTGACCAGTTCTTCACCAGTACTATAAAGCTCTCCAGTTGCTCTTCAACTGGTGTCAGTCTACGATTATTAACACCCTTGTTTTAATGTTTAACATTTCTAATATTGACGTATCAAAAAATCGCTAAAGTACCAGCTATTACCAATTAAATACAAGAATAAGAGACCGCCACAAATTGTAATTACGAAATTACAAGTGTCAAACAATAACTGATACTTGTTACATAAGTGGATAATGCTTTTCGAGGTTTAAAGCTATGGGTGCTGCGTTTGAGTTTCATTGGGAACACCATCAATCATTGGAGTTCAGGCACACCCAACCGACGAGTCGTAAACCGGACAGAAAGCGCATCCTTGATTTCACTACTAACCACCAAGGATACTATAAAATAATAAGTGATCGAGTAGTATCAAGGCGTCCTCATAGGAGCCCGTATGTCAACAAAGGTTGAGCAATTCAAATCAGCACAGCAATGCGGAGATTAAAAGTATTAAACAAGTACATGTCTCCCTATTGATTAAGGATGAAGATTATATAGCTAATTTATCAAGCATCTTCATAAGTTCACGTTCAAAATTTTGGTTTATAGAGAAACAAGCTTTAATTTGTGAATTCATGAAATATTTCAGCATATTTTTAACATAGATTCAACTTAATCTACTCCAAGGAATATTTTCCGTTGAAATAAACTGCAATTTATCTTCTCTAGAACATACTTCTTGGTACGATGTGATAAAGAATAGTTTATTGACTGGAAAATCGTAGGGTCATTCAGTAATAACTACTTAGAATGATACTGAGAGGTGTGTATATGAAGTAGTACACATATTCTGATTGGTCACAGGAATGCAGCCAATTTCTTGTTGTTTAGTCCTCAGTGCAGACCTAATTCTATCGATCATATTTGCAATGTGTCAACCTAAGCTAGGAAGCTCAGCATCGCGGTGCACATTAGTAGATGTTAGTTGGTTGGAGGCGATCGGCAGGAAGCCCTACTTGACCTAGGTTTCATGGTTTTTGGCACTCATTAGCAAGGCATATCTACAACCTCAACGGAACTGATATCCCACTTGAGATTCGAACCGGCATCACTCAGTGTTGTGGCAATGCTAAGCTTCCTAGCTTGATTGCCGCATTACAAATATGATCGGTAGGATTCGGTGTGCACTGATGACTAGACAACATGAAATTGGTTGCACTCCAGTGACCAATCAATACATGTAAACCAATCGCGGCCCAAATAGCTGTGTTAAAGTCACTGACTACAACACTGGGTGATGCTGGTTCGAATCTCAGGCGGGACATCAGTTCCGTTGAGGTTGCAGATATGCCTTACTGACGACTGCCAAAAAGCTTGAGACCTAGGTCAAGTAGGGTATCCAGCCGATTACCTCCAATCAACTAGGGGCTACTACACAACTACTACATGCATGCTTTCCTTACTACTCATTTTTTACACATTATCATGCTTATATTTTAGGTCTTGTTTCAACAAAGTATGTACCTTGGACTTTGATTAAAAGAAAATATAGTCTATGTTGAAAATTCATGAAAATCTGATTTGTAAATTTCAACTGTTGACATCTAACAAGAAATCTAAGACGAACTGTGAATTAAAGAATAATTCAGTTTGAACATCTGATATCATGAATTGTAATTGTTTAAGACAAGAAGACAAATTGTCCTTTTTTTTTTTCTCTTGAGCAAACATGACTTTTACTTTGCTGTACTGAACAGAATAATAACGATACTTTTAATCAATCAATAAAGAGTGAGAAAGTAAACAGTTGATTCTAGATTGCCTTGATATATAAGCACAAAAAAAAGAAACCAAGCACATATATATATATATATATATATATCAGAAGGATAAAAGTTGAAGTATTACTACAGGTGGGGAGATAAAGAAATAGAGAGAGGCAACAGAGTTAGATACACTCACAAGTTGAATAGAATATAATTTCATTATTTTGTGTTTAGTGAATAAGATGTTCACATAATATAATGACAATGAATCCATTTGTCAAAACTTTGAAGTGAATAGAAATCTTTGAAGCTGCTTCATGTATGGATATGTATGAATACTATACGAAATTGAAGGTTCTTCTATAAAACATAAGCTTTTAGAACAGCTAGTGTTTTATTAGTCAACCTATGGTAATAGTTTCGATGTAAATACTGTATAGATAAATCTGTTGAAAGTATTGTTTACAATCAAACATATGTATATTTAAGCCATGTGAATATAGTAAACAATATGGAATGATAAATAGACAACATGAAGAGATAGACATCAAGTGAATAGTGACTTGGGATCTCTCAATCCAGATCGACTTTTAACCATATACAATGAAAGAAGATAGATTATTGAACTTTCATAGGAATACTTAACTGGTAACACAAAATTATCAACAAATCGAACAATCTGATAATCTTTAGAAACATCTAAACACCTGTGCAGTTGGTCAATGAAAAGAAGAAAATAAGGGTAAAGATAGTTTTGTAGAAGGAAAAGATAAGCTAAAAGGTAATCAGATTAGAAAAATAATGAAGTTGTATAGTGTATAGTGTGTTATAGAGAAAATTATAAACCAACAAGTGAATTTTCATCACCAACTCATAAATCTCAGACTTTCTTCATAAGTTACCATACGTTAAATTGTATAGTGTAAGACCTTTTGTTTGAAGTTATAAATTAAGATGAAGCAAGGAAACGTTAAGTAATGCATCACTTCTGTAAGACTTAAAGAGTGTTAAAGGTAAAAGAAGGCATAAAACTATATTGTTTTCTTTTCAAAACAATACTTGAAATTGAATTTTTATATACCACCAAAGTTGGTCATCTCATAAACTATAAAACAGAAACGAGTATTACCATCCCTAATGGATGTGTTGAATTCATTGAAAATTAACAATTCACTACATACATGTGAAAAACAATACATTTCTAGTCAAAAAAACTTATCAATCCAATAAGTGATGATCTAGTTCTCCTCGTAGGACAGCAAGTGTAGCTGATGCTTCACTATCCCAAGGTTTTATCCCTCTAGATAGTAACTCTTCTACTTCATCATTTGTGAAGCCGAAATTCATATCAAGGCTAGCATGAAAACTTGGAGGATTGAAAGTATTTGTCCTGTGACTTGATATTCCACTCATTCCTGTTCTTCCACGATTTATAACATGATGTGTATTACGATAGGCTCCAAACAGGTGATTATGACCAAAACTAAGTGACCGATTATTTCGACCATGATATCTAAGTGGTTCGTCTAGATACTTCGGATTTAATATTCCTGAATAGTTGGATATCTTGCCACTTAAGGCACCTGTACTACTGGAATATATTAGAGGGCGCTTTACTTCTTTTCTACGTATATTGTCATTGTATTTATTTGACATATGTACCGAACAACTACTGTTAGTATTATTTGAATCTACTACCTTGAATATCGTATCCGATTCCTCCTCGACTTCTGATGTAAATTTTACTCCATTACTTAATGTCCTTCGAGGAATATCTCCTGATGCCCCAGTTTTCGTGGAAAACTCCACTTCTTCTTGGTCACTTACAGTAGATTCTGGCCAAGTATACTCTCCATCTCCGACAGGACCAACTATGTCATTACTTGGTTCACTGATGTCATCTTTCTCCACGTTATGATTTGTTTCACTTTCAGCAAGTACACTGTTATGATCTATACATGATGAGACAAATTTAGCAGGAGAATGTCGATCACAATTGTCCATTTTTAAGCCATTATTTGAAAATGTACTTGATTGACTTTCTGTCAGTTTTGATACAGGTGTTGAAGGTAACGAAATGACAGTTTTGCTATTTGGTGAGTGTATGTGACACGATGATGCATGTGTAGATATTGGTGCAGGAGGTAATGCAGCTCTTACATTATAACTTCTTAGTCCTGCATTTAGACCTAAATTAGCTTTACGCAACATTTGACGATTAAGTTGCTCAATTTTTCGCATCATTTCCCTTTGCTGCAAACGCCAAGGGCTACTTAGTGGAGCTAACCACTGCATCATTGCAGCTGCTGTCATGGCTACAGCCTCCATTTCTTCCTCCATTGTATGTTGATCAGCTAGCAAGTTACGCAGATCGACTTTTAGTTTTGCAGGGCTGAATAAACCCAGATCATAACCTAGAATTTTGAAAATAGTGAAGATTAGTATATGAAGTCCGTATAAACGTAATATGGCAAAATAACCATATGTGCGTTAAAAATACAACAAGAGGTATTTCCACTTTAAACAAGAGTAAAAAACGAACTATTGTATTCAATCAAAAGTTACGGTAGTTGTTAGTAGGCATTAAGTGACGTACCCTACCCACTATACTACTCACGAATTAGAGTAGTTGTAAATCACTAGTGTTCGTAAACCAATCAAAAATTAGTATTATCTACCCATTAGATAGAATACCAAACCAGAATTATATGCTTAGGAAATTTAATGAAAGCACTAAAAGGTTGAAAACTTACTGACAAGAATCTCTGGATCGGAAATTTAAAGTTTCTGGTTGTGATGTCATACATATTCGATTTTTCAAGAAAACTGTCGGCGATGAAATTCGTTAAAATCATGACCCTTTATATAATTTCAACTAATCTCTGCTGAATAACTTTAATAGTGACAGTTAAATATTAAGGTGAATAATGAATTGTTTCTAAAATTCTAGTATCATATGAAGTACATTAAGATATTCAAATGGTCAGTCGAATTAGCCATTGTTAGTCAGTGAGTTTATATATGTGAGGAAATTGTCGATATGTTCCAATTTCAACACAGTAGTCAATGTGTCATCCAAATATCGCCACCGTATCTTAGGTGCAGGACTAGGTGTGTGTCAATTCATGTTTTCCTAACTCTCCATAAATATATCTGCTACGATTGGAGACATTTGTGATCTGATTGCTTCTCCTTTTGTTTCTTTATATATTTTGTCCTGAGACGTGAAGACTGTGGAGGTCAGACACAACTGTAAGCCTAATACGACCTTCTCAACCGATATCTTAGTTCTTTGATTAAGTTCTATATCAACATTTAGTTGATTTTTGACTGCCCCCAGTACCAAATTGATTGATTATTTTAGTAGAAAGATTTGTCATTGTCAAAACTAACCATTTCTCCTCATCTTCTAGTCGTAGCTGATTAAGTACTTTGATAATTCATATGCTAGCCACAATCAAGTAATTCTTAATATATGTGTAAAACTTAGGCACTGTGGTAGAGGAGTTCATCTGCCAACATAGTTCGGGCACTTCAGTCTAATGTAACCAATGGAAAGTACAAATGTCTACAAGATGTCATCAATATGACTAGTTATTATATTTATAATACATAAATGAAATAGAAATAAGGAGAAGAAGATGAAAATCAATAACTTTACACGATCGCTTATTTCAGGAAGGATCATGAAAAACTGGAGATGAAAGATAAAGAGAGAGGATATAGTAACTCACTAACAGAAATGAAAAGAAAAGATTCCATATGCAATGAAAGTCATTCCGCTAGGACTATCGTGAGCTAACAGAAATTGGAAATATGGAGCATTGGATTCTGACCCGGTGGCTCAATGTTAACGCGCTGGTCGCGGAACCTGAAGGTCGCGGGTTCGATCCCTGCCGGTGGGGTCGTGGGTGCGCACTGCTGAGGAGTCCCATACTAGGACGAAACAGCTGTCCAGTGCTCCCAGGTTTCCTTTGTTCTTCCAACTGATGTCAGTCTACGATGAATAACCACTAGGGCTACATAAGTCTCTATGATCATAACCTATCTCCTGTTATACATGCCAGTATTCTCTTTTAATACCAATACACTGAATTACTGTAATGTTATCCAGTTACTGTTCATGTCAGATTATAATAAGAACTTGAAAATGATCTTAAAAATACAGTAATATTTGAATCATATGAATCAGATAATACAATCTAGAAAGTCAACAAGTATATAGGGATGAACTTTACTGTGATAACAAGAAAGTTTAATTGAAATCAAACTGAATTTTATAACAAAATCCCTTAAACTTACCTGCCATTAATCCAGCTACATTATCCATCCAATCAAGATGTATTTTTTTCTCCCATCGTTGAACTTTACTGCCTTTAGCTTTATCAGCCATATGTTGAAATAATGACCAAGGTTTTTCAAATATTAGAATGCATGATTTACACCAATACATTTGTCCAGGATCTAATGCAGCTTTTGTTTTCACATATTTCACATGATCACCTTCTTTATCCAAAAAACACTCCAAATAATGATCTTTCAATAATGTACAATAACTTTCATTATCTCGACGTTCTAAACCATGTTTACATGAACCTAGAGAAAAAGTTATTATCATTTATTTCAATGTGTTTTTTTTTTAACTCATAGATAGAATAAAACATTTATTCATCAAATATTGATTAATGAAACATTGAAATACCTTTCGACATGACAACATATGCTGAAAGATTACAATATAGGTAACGTATAGGAAACCAGTGACACCTTTGAAGTGAAGACAAGAGTAAGACAAGGCTGCTGCCTACTACAACCCATGATCTTCTTGATTGCGGACAACTGGACTGGATCGTGCAGCAAACCGTGAGGAGCTGTAGAAAGACGGGCATACGCTGGACTGATGAAAAGAGCCTAGAAGATTTGGATTTCATTGATGATTTCTGTTTAATGTCTTGTCGCACAAGCTCGGAGTTCTGTTAGTGAAAACTAACAAGTAGACAGAAGAGGTAAGACAACGAAGAAGGGACTTCAAGCGAATGTAGATAAGACAGAGGTGATGAAGATACTCAACCAACACTACCACCAACAACAACAAGCACCAGTCACCATCAACAGGAGAAATCTAGAGGTAGTCTCTTTCACGTACCTAACTACCTAGGCAGCACTGTCTCAACTACAGATGGCACAGACGAGGATGTTAAAACCAGGATCGGAAAAGCAAGACAGACCTTCATTAACCCGAGGTCAGTGTGGAGATCTACTGCACTCAGCACAGAGAACAATATCCAGATTTTCAACACCAAGTCACTGCTGGTGTATGGTTTATTCAGAGAGTTGCTGCGTCACGAAAAGCACTTTCAACAAACTACAGACACGCATCATCAACAACTGCCTACGCTGGCTTGATACTGAAGATCAGATGGCCCAAACAATAAGACTACGCAATAAGGAACTCTGGCTGACTGACAACGAACCAACCAACAGCCTATCACCCAACAAATATGCAGGAGAAGAAAGTGAAGATGGATTGGGCATATACTGAGTAGGCCGACTTAGGATATCACGTGTCAGGCCAGGCCGTTGAGTGGAATCCGAAGGGGAAACGACGAGTTAGGCGTCCCAGCTGAGGGTGACATGGAGATCATGTGAGGAATAAGTGAAAGCTTGCGGGCAGTGGTGGGGCCAGGTTCAAAAGACTGGAGAGAAGAGAGTGGAATGGAGGCGTGCTACTGAAGCTGTATGTTTCATTAGGAACCCAAGGGAAAATAAATATAAATAAATAATAACGTATGGGAAATAAAAATGGCAAAAGAAATACATTATATATTGTTCTAATTCAGATTAGTTAGTGTATTTTTTACACAAACCAACATTTCAAAGTTGTTCTCTCTCTTCCTTGAGTTTTTTAAAGCACCTAACGGTTAAGTTAAGCCTTCAAACAAGGGAATCAACTACCTAGTGTTTATAACTAGGAAAACATGTTTGAATAGCATATGTGTTAGCTATACACATTGTTTAGTTAGATTATTTATAAGAGATCTTTCTTCATATCATATTGGTATTTCTTTTGGTTTTCTTAGGTTCTTTGAGCTGGGTTGTATAATCATGGGGTTTTCATTGTCTATCTAGACGACATCATCAGAGCATCGACTTCAAATCACAACAAAATAACAATGCAAGACAAATGGCGAATGAAGTTGAATGTACCTGTCCTATCTTAGTTCTACGGCAGATTAAAACTACATAAACCAGACATCACTCTAGTACCAATAGTCTGACTTTCGAGAACTCCAACACACAACATATGAAGGGGACTTTCAAGAAAAAGGAAACAGCTTGTTTAATCATGTGGACATTCCAAAAAATCATCAACAGAATTCTCAGAAAAGATTAAAAGGTTTAATATAGAAAAAGACGAATTAATGGTATCCTTCGATGTCATAGCGTTGTACACATTCATCGAACCCCAACTAGTCAAGGAAATTACATGCCTCCTGCTCACTGAAGACACAAGCCTCTTAGAAAGCATAAAACTTAAGTGTTCAAGTTTGATGGAAGTCATCAATCTTTATCTGATAACATACTTTCAGTTTACTGACAAGATATACAAACAGATGAAAGGAACTCCAGTGGGATCACCGATATCCGGACTAACTGCAGAAGCGGTGATACAGAGACTGGAAACCATCATTCTATCTCTGATGAAACCAAAAATTTGGATTCAATGTGTAGATGACACTTTTGTCATCATTAAACATAGGTTGATCAACAACGTTTTCAACGACATGAAATTCACAGTGGAGAAGGAGTCAACCAACCAATCACCATTCCTGGGTGTTCTGGTCAATAGAACAGATGCAGGAAAGCTGGAAACCCAAGTGTACAGGAAGCCAACACACACCCACCAAACCCTCAACTACAATAGCAACAATCCAACAACCCACAAGATCAGTTGCGTGTAGATTCTATTCAAGAGAGCGAGAACACGCTGTAGCACTACAACTTCACGAAGAAACGAAGAAAATTACTTGATGTCCATCCTAAAGAGGAACACCTACCCACCAAACTTTATCACAAGATGCCTATCCCATACAACGAAGTCATCGACAGAAATCAATAAATGCATCATCCTACCATACATAAAGGATAAATCAGAAATGACGACAAGATTACTGAAACCACTTGGAATTGGTGTGGCCATTCATAAACCAACAAATTCCCTCCAAACACTATTATGCAGACCAAAGGATGCAACCACCAGAGAAGACAATTCAAATATCATTTACAAAATCAACTGCAATCACTGTAGTCAACATTACATTGGACAAAGTGGTCGCCGTCTTCGCCTTTGTCATTCACATAAACACCAATTCACTCCTAAAAATCTCCACATGTCATAGCTAATCTCATTGCACGTGGATAACAACTATACACATGAATTCAACTCGGACAATGTAGAAATTTTGGATGGAGAAAGGAAACACAATGAATATCAGAGAATTCCCAGAAGCTTGACATTCAGATCAGTCAGTCACCAATTAACAGGTGTAGAGATATAGATCCAATCTATTAAGCAATGAAAAGAATGATAGACAACAGAAAGGTGAGAGTTTAAGTAGAGGAACAGCCAACAGGATAGTTTATATAGTCAGTCAATGATATAACAATTAAAGGAAACAACCAATCAGGAACCAGTTGGTCAAAGAAAGCTACTAAATCACTTTTGGAGAGATATTGACAGCTCATTACTTCATACTGAAGTCAATGGTGATAATGTCGTCTAGAAGGAAGACGATGAAAGCTCGGCGATTAAACAATCCAGTTTAGAGAATAGAATACAACCAAAACCACCTATCCGAGCTACAAATATTCTTCACCATTGAAGCTATTTCTTTTCATTATACAAAATCAAATTACAACTGATTGTATTTCACTCAACTATATGGTATGTGAATACCAAACCATATCTGGAACGAAAATGTTTTTTTTTAAAGGTAACAACAAACTAAACAGAACGAAACAAGTATACCACAGTATATTTCAATATCATTCAAAGCGCCATTTTGATGTTCTGAAATTGTAGTTATCGTATAATTTTGACCATCTTTTCTTAAATCAAGATTATTTGATGTTTCATTCAAATATATCTCATCAGTTATATTATTCAACTTCGTTGGAATTGAATTATAACATATAGAATTTTGTAGTGTATTACAATACTTCACTTCATTTGTATTAAACATACTTCCTATAGTAGATGTAACATTTAACTTATTAGTATTATTGTCGATTATAGTTGAAACAATTTGTATTGATTGGTCATTAATTGTTTTATAAGTATTTTCTATCTTTTGATGTTCACTGTTAGTAAGAATAGATTGAGTTATATTATTATTATTTGTTCCAGATAATTCATTTGGATTCATATTCTCTTTAAGAACCTGATATAACAATATTAATAAAATAATTGAAGAGTTAGGTTTACAAAGAAAGGCTTTAATTCAGAATAAATCAATTGTGATTCAGAACTGGTACTGAGTCATTCCTTGTTGCTTGATGTATTCAGTGTTGATTCGGTAACCAAAGATTCGAGTAACAATCTCTCTCTTCATCCAAATAAGTTAGCTATAAAGATTGTCACTATGTCCCAATGTTATGGTCATGTGTAACTGTATGCATAGGTATGGCTGAGCATTTTTCTAGATTGCTTATCTTATTGTGATTGAATAGCCTAATTGACCCTAATCGATTACTTTTACTCATGTATTTGACCTTGCAATCAATGCAGGGGACTTGGTAAACGAAGTTATTCAGCTTAATAGAATCAACAAAACCTTTTAATCTATATACCTAATTTCTAAGTGTTTTCAATATATAAACGAGCCGTTTACAGTATTGGAATGGAAGCACATAGTTTCTTCACACATAAATTCGATAGTCAACGCAATCCAGTTCAAATATGAATTAGAAAATGGTGAAGGAGAATTAGGGATTTTGAATGTCAGAATAAAATGGAAACAAAGTGGGAGTTTGGACAACTAGTAACTGCAGAAAACCTTCACATTCAAATCGTCACTTAGATTTCAAATCGTCTAACCCTATGTCAGTTGAAGTTGGGTTGGTAAAGGGTCTACGTAACACAGGATACCAGATTTATTAACGACACCTTATTCATCAACAATTACTCCCAGAAATTAGTTGATAAGTTCCTTAAGAATCGAAAGAAAAATATGATTATTATTAGTAACACAAGTGCTAATAGTAATGGCAGTACTGTCAAGAGAGAATTCTAAACCTCTACAGTATTACCATACAAAGAAGACACTTCAGCAACACTACGTAGGATTCTCAATAAGTCTTGCTGCGATTAGAATGGCATTTAAACCTATTAATTTACTTAGAAACAAACTTTGTAGGTTAAAATATTTTGTTGATCCAATTAGACAAAATAATTTAGTTTACCAAATCCCTTGCAGCAGTTGCAAGGTCAAGTGCATAGGTCAAAGTAGTCGATCAGGGTCAATTAGGCTATCCAACAACAAAAACCTGATAGATCCTAAGTAACGTAGGGTATTTAGAAAAATAGCTTGGCCACAGTTATGTATGCGATCGCACACAACCACACAATATGATGAGACAGGTTCATTTTTGAGGGGTATCAGTTAAATTTTCTATGCTTTCATCAGCTAATAACATGTTTTAACTTCTGTGGTTTGATACTTGTAATCTCTCGTTCGTATACTTGGTCGTATTGCTTGACCTCTGTTGGCGGAAAAGCTTCTAAGTGGATGACTGGATAATGTCCAATCATTTATTATATTTTAGCCTATTTCATGACTAACAGCTTTTTATCCTAGTGAATAACACTTCAGCTTTTGAAGCAATGGGTACTAGGTTTGAGTTCCACTATGTTTTGACTTCGTCTTATCGTATCCTAATCGTTTACTCTTATGATAAGTCAGCCCTTAGACCCTTTTTGTTAGACAAGCTTGCCAGAACTCACATTGAGTCCTGGATTTCAAACTGGTTTCTTTCTTATTTTTCTGAGAGAAAACAGTACACTCTATAAAAAGGGTAGCTCTCTACTTCGCTACTTAATGAAGCCAGTGTCCTTCAACTGACTGTTCTTTCTCTTTTCTCTTTCTTTTTGCATGACTTACCAACCTCAATGAATGCTAGCTTTTTTAGGTGCGCATATGACCTAACAGTTTCCATGTGGATTATCTTCTCTTCAGATTATTCTCCGTTTAATAACTTGTTAAGCGAAATTGGTCACTGGTCTTCATTAAGTGGCTTCACACCCAATCCCTCAAAATGTCAGATGGTTAATTTGAGCTTAAGATTTGAACAAGACATATATAACTAGCCTCACCCCGATGACTCTTGTCTTATACATGGCTTCAATGTGTCGAGTGTATCAAGCGTGATCCACCTAAGTGTATGCTTTTCTTTTGATCTTTCTTGGTCTCCTTATATTCTCTTGATTTTCAAGAAAATCCTTTTCTTAACCTTTAATCTAAGGGAACTCAGACTGTCTGGTATAATTCAGTCTCTACTCTTAAGTTTCATTGATTCCTGTGTTTTGCCAATAATTACTCCTTATTTCCTTTTATTCTTTCTTTGACTCTGAAAGAAAGACTATATTGTATTCCGTAGGAATTTGGAAACTGTTAGTAGAGCAAGTAGTACATCACTAACCGTGTTGACAAATGCGGTCATGGTTAAGCATTTGAACTCTTGTAGACAGCTGGCTAAAAATATTTTATCTGGTGACAAGTATCCTCTGCATCTGAATATCTCTTTATGTCTGTTCTCTGAGACAAGAAAAGACAAGAATGAAAAATGTTAAACTGTATATGTACACAACTACGCATACAAAAGTTTAACCATAGTTTATTCAGTGTTATTGCTTGTATGACACCGTCGTTGATTGGACCGAATTGATCAGTCTGTGTTGGCATATGGGCTCCTGTGCAAATGCCTCGATATTGCCTGTGTTTCAATTATGTATAGTAACGATGGGCAGTGGCTAGAAGTGGAATCCAGGATGCGAATTTCGTCATATTTGGGACTCACTAGTCAGCTGGATGTACCTGCTGCCTCCCAGTGAGTGATGTTGTTCCCACCGGGATTCGGACTCGGGAGCGATGGCTTCAAAAGCGAAAGCATTATCCACTACACGACAGGCAATATCAAGGCACCCGCACAGGAGCCCGTATACAAACAGAGACTGATCAATTCGGTCCAATCAATGACGGTATAGTACAAGCAATAACACTAAACCTATACCCGTCAAACAAGAAGTGGCTGTCGTGGCTCGGTGATGTAGTGGATAACGCTCTCGCCTCTGAAGCGATCGCTCCCGAATCTGAGTCGCGATGGGAAGGACATCACTCACTGGGAGGCAGCACGTACATCCAGCTGACTGGTGAGTACGAAATACGATGAAATGCGCATCCTGGATTCCCCTGCTAGCCACTACTATACATAATTTATTTAGCTTGTGTGTTCTGTGAAGAAAATATTGTTAGACATAGTCTTATCAGTCAAATTTGCAATAGCGAACAGTTATCATATTTGAAAAGTGCTATACAACGGGTAAACTTATGCAATATCACATGCTGAGAATTCTGCACTGCAAATAAAATTATCGTTCCGAAAAGAGTAAATGGATCATTATTATTACTTTTTTTGTCTTTAATGATCACTCGATTAGGAAGGTGTACTGTTTCCGTACACTGTTTTATTTATTTGTCTAAGGATCATTTAAAAACTTGATTTGAAAACCCAGGATAATAGATAACAAACGATATTATAGGAAAACTAAATTTCTATAATTGGTCTATAAGTATATATATATATATATATATATATATATATATATATATATATATATATATATATATATAGCGAATAATAATAACGCAGTTGTAACTGCTTTATAAAGGAATAAGCGTGAATCTACAGTGTATGACTTTATCATCACAAAACAATTCACTTTACGTTTCTCATGCATAGACGTTTTAAAATGAAAAAATATAAATAACATTTCACTATTGCAGACGTTTAGGCGGCACAGGACCGGAAAAGCAAGATGCGTTCATTAATATGAAACCAGTGTGAAGATCTTCTGCACTCAGCATAAAGTGTTAACAACATCCGGATTTTCAACACCAATCCAGTCAATTCAGTGCTTTTATGTGATGGTTTAGAGACTTAGTGCGTTACGGAAAGCATTTCCAACAAACTACAGATATTCATCAACAACTGCCTACGCTCACTCGTTACTGAAGCTCAGATGGCCAGAATAATAAGAATGAGCAATAAGGAACTCTGACAACGAACCAACGAAGAGAGAACCTATCGCTCAACAGATATGCAGAAGGAAATAGAGATGGATTGGGCATGCACTGAGAAGACTGATTGGGGACATCAGGCGTCAGACCAGGCACTCGAATGGAACTCAGATGGAAACGACTAGTTGGGCGTCGGAGGTGAGGGTGACATGGAGGACGTTGTGTGAAGAAGAAATTAGAGCTTCTAGGCAGTTGCGGAGCCAGGTTCAAAAGATTGCAGAGAACAAAGTGAAATAGAGACGTGCCACTGAAGCCGTATTGTTCCACTAAGAACCCAAGGGACAAATAATAATATTGTAGACTTTGTGATTTCTTTGAAAATTAATTTCATAGTCTAGATACTTTATGGATTTGTTTGAAATGAAATAAAACGTTGGATTTATGAGCATCTTAAGTCTATCCTGAGGTATATTTTAGAACGAAATGGATTGATTAAACTGCTGAGTGGACGATGAAATGGGTTTTTTGTGCAACGTTTGAGAAATTGCCTGATAGAAGAAAACACTACACAAAACAATAGGAGCCAAGAACACCCAACCATTTTTTTCATAAAATTCAGTTGATTTCGTGTAACAAATCTTGCAGTAAAGCATCTCTGATAGCACCAAACTTGTACCATGGAGTAGAATTTCATGTCATTAAAATAAACCTTAAACATAGTTCATAGCAATGATTTGACGCAAAAATACCCTAAAAACGGAGGGGTAAACTCACAAAAGTAGAGTATAATCAGTGAAGGAAATTAGGGAGACAAAACAGAAAGTTTTTACGGATTAACAAGTAAACTATACGTGGATACATGTTCTATGATGGCATCTACATCGAAATTTTTTAAGTCTCAAATAACTTTTTCCTAGGATTCTTTCTGTACACTTTAGAAAACAGATAGTGTTTCCTTTGCTTAGTGCCATATATCAGTTTAGTAGCCGTTAAGCTTGATGAGAATGCTATTAATATAGCACCTAGGTTCAGATATTGAGGTACAAGGTGGCCCAGTTCAAACAAGTGTCTCCCAAATACAACAGTGTGTGGAGGCCCATATGCATTTTACCATTTATGTGAATTCTCTGACCATAAGTTAACGC